TTCAACTCCTGAAGGAACTTTCAACTAACCGTCATCGCAAACTTTCTTCCTGATCTGCTCACTTTGTACAGAAGACACCAAATTTTTCATGACTATATGGGGCTTTTTGATGGTTCTTCCATTAGAAATAAAGATGCCAAGAAGCTTTTAAAGGCCATCACCAAAAAAGAAAAAAGGGCAGCAGGGGGTGATGAGCTCCTCCCGTAATCGAGGGAAGGGCAGTTTGGGGGGGTGGGGTTGCTGCGCCAGGGCCCGCTCATGCCTGCAGCTCCACCTGGCTCTTGGTGAGTCTCTGTACTCGTGTATCTGAGGAAAACAGAGCAACTGCCACACGGTCTGTTATGCTTTTATATGCTGTTTAAAGGTACTTTTCTATTGTCATTTTAAAAAATAAAGTGCTTATTCTAGCTGTCACACCTTTGCTTGATAAATTCCTTTTTGCAAGATCAACCAGGTGCAGACCAGGGACCGGCAGCCTGCCTTTCCACATGCTGGAGCCTGCATAGAATAGAAACCGTGGCATCCAGCTTCACCAGGCGGCTTTCTCTTCAGCCATCTGTGAGCCACGGTCACAGAGGTACCCGGATTGGCCAGACCAGACAGCTCCCCCTGGAGGAGATTCCTGGCCTCTCCAGCCTGCCCTGGGCCACCCTGTTCTAGTCAGCACGGAACACAGCACTTCCATATGCTTTTGTACCAGAGGCCTTGGGCTGCATGAATAAGAACCCCGCCCGCACCATTCTGATGGTCACTAGTGATGTGCAGATGACAGGTCTGGGTGGTATATTCCCACTGCCCAAACACCAGCTTCGTTACAGTGTGAAAAACCACCTTTTCTGTCACTGCTGAACAGGAACACAGTATGTCTTTTGGAATTAACTGGGAACTTGTTCCCTCTTACATGCATTAATAGTCCAGTTGTAGGCTCCAGAAGGATGGTAACTAAGCCACCTTTTTGTTTCATTACCAAGGGAACCCTCTGTTGGGAGGGAAGATGTCAGCACTAATACAGCTATAAGATTGGCATCTGAAATTAAATACTGTGCCCTTCATCTCTGAATAAAACTACAAGTTAAAGGAATTTGGGAAAGAACCATAACACTTCCAAAACCAAAGTTGTACTTTGATTTCACCAGATTCAGACTTCAAATTCACTGGGCCCAGTGTGTGCGTGTGTGGGACCTACTTTCACAGGACCAACGTGCAGCTGTCACTGTCCCTGCTCTGAGGTTTTCTGGGACACCACACCCCATGGCATCTTTGGGTCCCAAGCTATGCAGTGTAAGGATCCCACATCGTGGGACAGCCACTGCTGGGTGGGAGGAGCACCCTGCCCGGCCGGAAGAGCACTGGCAGACAAGGTTCTCTTACTCCTGACTCTTAATCCATCCATCACACCCTCTCGTGACATCAAACACTTTCACATTTTTAGACAGCAGGACAATATTTGTTAATGGTGAGGTATACCTGAAATACTAGTCCTCAGAACGCCTACACTAAAACCTGAATGACAGACACGGAAAACCCCCCTATGCAGTCAGCTAATTAAGGCCCTTACGTTAAGAAAATTTTTAAACAGCCCCAGTCAAGCTTTACCTGCTACTTGTGCAGGAACATCTTACATGATACTGAAATGCTACCTCTCCCCTTCACTGGCTGGCTCCCACTACCCCGAGGCCCCAGAGATGCCATAAGAATTCCTTTCCCCTCAGAGCTCTCCAGCAATACCCGCAGGTGCTTTTACCAGTGCTGCCAGAACAAACCAAACTGACTGCACCTATCAAGGCCCTGTTCCTACAAACCGCAACCTAACATGCCCACAAATAAACAGCAGTGAAACCGTCCATCTTCCATTACTCACAAGCATCTCGCTTAAAATGCAAATGAAGCCTTCTGACCATGCTGACACTACAGATTAAGTCAGATGCTTAAGTTCATCCCAACGGCATGGAAATTGACGATCAAGGTAAAGCTTTTACCTGGACAAAGAGCACTTAACCCCCAAAACCACAGCACAGGCCTTGGGTGTGAAGGGCTCAGCAAGGCAGTCCAAAATCTTAGAGTCAAGTGCAACATAAATCTTCTCTTGGTGTTTCTGGAGCTGTTCCTGCCAAATTCAGGCTACAGTTTACCCAGTCCTCTCCTCTTAGAAAGTATCCTTCCGTGTGTTTACTTACTTAAAAAAAGTTTGACAGTGAGTCTGCACCAACTGTCCTTTGAAATATGAGCCCTGCAAGTTTTGGGCAGTTGACAAGTCACAGGGTTCCCACAGTGTCTTGTAGCCACATGGTCTTTGAGTCCCATGACGTGTGCAGGCCGAGCTGGTGAAAGGGGCCTACAAAGCAGCCTTGTCCCTCTCCTGAGGAGTACCAGCTACGTTTACTTCTAATGGAAATCCTTTTGTGATGAAGCTGTGCTTTGCTTTTTTGACTATGACCAGAGGAAAGTCAACAGCACATGTCCAGGGCCTACTCTGACTCTGTTTCCAAAGAATGCTGACTTGGCACGTGCGTGACAGATTGGGGCAGTTGTCCCCAGGTCTCCTTAGTCTAGGAAGTGGTTTC